TCTAAAGGATATCTCTTGGAACCTTATCGTAAGCTTTTTCTAAATCAATAAAAATCAAATGTAGATTCTCCTTATTATCTCTGAACTTCTCCATCAAACCTCTCAATAAATGTATATCTTTCATAGTAGACCTGCCCGACGTAAATCCAAATTGATTATGAGAAACTTTTGTGATGCGTCTTAACCTATGTTCAATTACCCTCTCCCATAATTTTAAAGTATGACACATCAACTTAATTCCTCTATAATTTGCACACTCTTGTGCATCCCCTTTATTCTTAAAAATGGGGATCAAAATACTCTTCCTCCACTCCTCAGGCATCTTTTTAATTTTTAAAATAATATTAAAGAGTTTAGTAAGCCAAGAAACTCCCAAATCTCCCAAATATTTCCACACTTCAATTGGGATATCATCAGGTCCTACAGACTTTCCACCCTTGGTTTTCTTTAAAGCCTCCTCAACTTCTTTTTTGCTAATGCGACGGTAAAAATGAAACGTTTTATTATTATTCACGATATTAAAATCACTAAGGTCGATCGTATTTTCAGAAACTTCATTAAATCTCTAGTTTACTAACTTACGAAACCTAGTATGCCACGATAAAAAATGCAAGAATAAAATCCTACAATTTTTTTGAGTCCGTATGTCGATCCCACGAGAAAGGGGTTAACATTGATTCTGACAGATGAATCTCTAGTTTACTAACTTACGGAACCTAGTATGCCACGATAAAAAATGCAAGAATAAAATCCTACAATCCTAAGAAAAACAGTAAGTAAATAAAATAGCAGGATCAAGAAACACCAGAAGCATGAAGTTGGAGTGTCTTTCAAAGGAGAAGAGGCCCGTGCTTCCGTGATTCAGGTGTAGTGTGTTTTCGTGATTTTCTTTGTAATTCCTCTACGTGATAGTTTCCAACCGGAGATAACAGTTCTTAGTCTATGTCTGGGTCATAAAAAGATTTAGAAACCAAATTATAGTTAAATGGGGTTCAACTATGCAACGTTTCTCTGGAATCTTTAGATCTCCTATCTAGGTTGCAAAAGCCTAATGATAATATGTCTATTTCATTAGATTTTTGTGAGTTAACTTATTTCTTCCATTAGGCAACAGGTAGAAGCCCTAGATCATGAATGGTTTTAACTTCCTAGAGTCAAATCTGGAGTAAATTAAATTTAGAAGTTAACCCAAATACTTGCATGCATGATAAGCATAGAAAAACATTATTGGGAATTCACATGCCAAAAAAATCACAACAAAACAACTATCCTTACATCACAGAAGCACAGAGGAAATTTAGCTAGGAGACATGTCAGAGAAAAACAAAAAGCGAGTCATTCCAATCATTGAAAACCAACAAATATATGAAAACGAAAACTTAAAACCAGTTTTCTCTTTCCACACAAGCGGTGATCCTTGTCGTACAACGAATAAGCTCCAATGTCTCTCTCGCACCAGCCACAATCCCTCTCAAAAAATCCCTCACAAAAACTAAGAAAACATAAAGAAAACCACTCTAAGGGCCTTCTCTCTCCAAAGAAGAGAGAAATATTTATGGCACTCCAAGGGACTCTTCTCTCGAAGAAAACCTAGCCTTCAAATGTCCAAAAATGCCTCCTCTCAATCCAAGGCATGTATTTATAGGTAAGGCTCTTCCAAAGGCAAGAAATCCACCCATAATTGAAATCTGTGTACGGGGCGCACCCGCCCGTGCCCTGCACGGGTGCGCAGAATCTGGTTCAAGGACCGTGTGGATGTGCAGTATATACTGCGCGGGGGCGCTGGTATGCATAGACGCAAGGAGCAGTTGTGTCATGTACTAAGCACGGGTGCGCTGTCGCATGGTCAAAATCTGGCATGGAGGTGATGGGCATGTGTTGCAAACTTGATGGATCTGGACCTAAGGGTATGCTTTGTTGTGGAAGTTGGGCGTTGGTGTGATCCACTGTGGGCGTGGCTGTGCCTGGTTGGTTGTTTACCTTTTTTAGGGTTTAGGGTTTAGGGTTTAGGGTGCAAGTCATGATTGTGCCATGTACTAAGCAAAAGTGTGTTGTCCCATGGTCTGGAGCTAGTGTGAGTGCTTGGCATTTCGTGCAAGGGCACTTGGTACGGTGTGGTGGCGCTCTGATCATTGTGCGGGTATTCCACCCGCTTTGTCTAACAAACTTGTTGGATATTGGCCTAGCGCAGGTGCGCGAGTGACCAAGCATGGGTGTACTCTGTTGTGGTAGTCGAGCGCAGGTTCGCTCAATCGTGGGAGCAGGTGCACCTGGCTGGTTTTTCACCATTTTTAGGATTTAGGGTTTAGAACGTGAGGCACGATTGTGCCATGTTCTAAATGTGGATGCGCCGTCCCATGGTCCAGATCTAGCGCATGAGCGCTGGGCATGTGGCGCATGGGCACTTGGAACGGCTCGGGTGCACTCCAGTCGCGTTGCGGGTATTCCACTTGCTTTGTTTGGCAAACTTGTTGGATCTGGGCCTGCCATGGGTGAGCGAGGGTCCAAACGCAGGTGCGCTCCATTGTGGTAGTCAGACGCAGTGCACTCCATCGTGGAAGATTGTGCACTTTGTTGTTTTTCACCTTTTTGATCCTAACTTGCGCCTTTTTCTCCTGCAAGCAACTTAAACCATGTAATCTGCATAACATGACAAAAAATTCTTTCCCAATCATCATATAGTCATAAAATATACAATAAACACATATTAACATGCAGGAAAGATGTGCATATTTTATTCCTATTACCAAGCTAAACCAAACACTTAATCTTAGTTACATCAAGACTCAAGTCAGGTAATGGTAAATCTTGTAGAATCTAAATCCAACTCTAACAGAATATTCAGCCAATTAATCCCTAAGCAAAAAAATAAAGAATTAACAGAACTCTTTTAACAAATTTATTTCATCAAGAAATAATGATTAGAAGTTATCTTAAGCTACTTATGGGTAGGCTATATATCATATGTTAATTGAGATTTGAATTACGTAAGTCAATAATAAATAATTAAGATGCTAATTTGAGTTTAAGTGGTCATAAAATAAAGAAAAAATAGTCTAAATAGGGTTAGTTTGACGCTAGTTAAGATATTCAATTCTCATTGATTAGACTAATTGTAAAAATTAAGTAACATTTAAATAATGGGTGATCTACTTAGGCATGTTCTTCCTCACTTTGCAAACCTCTTATCCCTGATCTTAACATGTGGATTAAAGGATTAGAGTAAATTTAATTCCTTAATCGCAAAATCAAAAGATTACTAAATTCACCTAATTCATCTAAATAAAATGTTAGATGGGAACTGAGGATAAATAGGGCATCCCAATCATATAATCCTATTATTTTAAAGCAACCATTCCCTTAATCCAGCCTTCATGAGGATCAAGATGGCTGTTTAGATGCAGGTATGATTTCAATTAATTAATTCCTACTTAATCAAATCAATATTATGTTATAACTGTTAAAATATAAATAAAATAAAAAGAGATACAATTTAAGACTAAATAATAACCAAGTAAAATAATTAATACATAATCAGATTAAGTTAATATCACAGTTACAAAGGCAATGAACTACAAGGTAAATGATATATCAAACCAAACTGTAATTAACCCGAAGTAAGACTTTTAGACAATAGTTATATCTAAATACTAATGAGCATCTAAAATATTAATTAATTACTAAATACTTAGTATAATTAAAAATTAATTCAATATTCTATATTGAACTAATTTTACTTCACTCCTTCCTGGCACATACAAACATTAAGAGTAATGCTACCCAGACTAAAAAAACAGGCAAATGTATGCCAGAATTGGATAAAATTGCCAAACAATTTGATTAAGCTATTGATGTACAAAAACAGAATCAGGATAAAAGCATAATTTTATCTAATTGAACACAATTTTCAGCTAAATGTCCGAGCCTCCCTTGTAATACTAAAAAATTAAGAAGCTATAAAATCTTATTCCGCTTGTTACCACCTAATCACCAATTCTCTAATTATTGCTTCTGCTAAACTAATTAATAGATCAGAAAATGAGTTTAATAAGTTAACTACAACCTAATTAACCTAATGATTACTTAAATACTTCAATTATTCAATTCAACATACTTAATCTAAAAATCATTCAACAATAATTAGTTAATTTAAAGTATAATTAGATAGTCAAATCCTTCTTAATCCCTAATAGGCATAAATCAACATGCAAATAACCATATGAATTACTAATTCCGCAATATCTAATTAACTCAATTAATAAATATCATACCATTATATTAAAGCACTGTAAGCCAATCAAATTTTAATTGGTTACTAATTAACTTAGTCTAATTAGATAATTTTCAATAAACTTGTTAATGAATCAAATAACCTAGCATATCTAATTAAATCCCTTGCTTCAAATACTCTTATTTGCATGCAAACAAATTTTAGGATAACACAACCTCAAGATCTACTAAATCAAAATATATGGGTTGTTTGGTATCCTATTTTAAGGTAAATTTTAAGCAAGATTCAGCTTATATCTTACCAAATCTATGCATGGGGATCTTATATCTTACTGTTTTCATCAATCTCATTTCACCTCATTATTTGTTAAATTTAGCACTTATTAAATTCCGACATTCAAAAGATCTGATAAATTAAGGATTCATATTCTCATAAATCAAACTATTGAAATAAATGGCCAAATAATTTATCAAAATTCAATGATGCTTAAAGGTTGAGTTGACAAATAGTTTTCGAGTTTTAATCCTCTAGGGTCTGTATGACAACAGATTAGATTTAACTTAATAGGATTTTGTAAATCTTGTAAATCCAAATTTAGTAAATCTATGAAGGGTTAAATCCCAAATACTGTTTGGCAGTGGATTTAGTAAATCCAGTTAAATTATGTCAAACTGTTAGGCAACTTCCACAAGAATTTAAAAGGTGGTTATGTTTGTTAGAAAAATATCATTATTAAATTATTAAATGTAATTAAATTGGTTATGTTTGTTAGAAAAATATCATTATTAAATTTTAATTATTTTATTAGTATGATAAAAAAATAATTATTAAATGTAATTAAATTAATCTAAATTTTGTTTCTAATTATAATAATTCATAATAAATTATTCACTTAAGTAACTAATAGTTAATAAATATAATTACTTATTACACTAATGACTTATTAAATTATGTCAAACTATTTGGCAGTGTACTTCATTAAACTAATTACTTATTAAATAACAAATTAACATTGATTAATTATTTAAAAAAAATTACTTAAATAAGTAAATTTAAAATATATTTTTATTCATTAATTAATTATTAAATAATTACATATAAATTTATCAAATTGTAATTAATTTAATAATATATGAATTAATTATCAAACAATTAAATGAATAAAATTAATTAAATAAATTAAATTAAAACCATAAACCTATCTACATCTAATTCTCTCTGCCTGAAACCCTCGCCTACATCCACTCTTGGTTTCATCCAAACTTCTGCTCTTCGCCCAAAACCCTAGCTTATGTCCCTCCCCCTTCCAGTTTCACCTAAAACCATCACCTTCGTGAACGAACCCTCACGATACAGTCAGAATCAGAGCTAGTTGAGAAGGCACCGACGGGATCGCGGCATACAGAGGCCGCCAAAATTCCCATCTTTCTCATCCTTCCGCTCCTCTCTGCTCCTACCAGAAACCATTGAGGAAGGTGACCCTGTATCTGCCATTCTTCATAAGAGCTTATTCGGATTTACTAAATCCGCAGATTCACACGATTTAATAAATTCGGGATTTACGTGAAATCCGGATTTATGCAAGCACCGAATTTATTGTCCAAGCTGAAAGTCTGGCAAGATCTAGCCTAATCCAGCTTAAATCCTGGTCTTAATCTGTTGCCAGACAACCCCCCCTAAATGTTTTGCAAATTTGGATTTACTCGATTTATCAAATCCACCTTGAGTAAAATCATATTTGTAGCCAAACATCCCCAACAATGCTTTTGTAGATATAGATTCAGTAGCTCCTCGTTACACCCAAATAGCCCCACAGGAAAATTTGGAGTTAATAAGAGATTAAAGAATTTTATATTAAAGGATTCATGAAACTCAAACACATACGTTTGATAGAGTATAAAGAATTGAAGAGCAGACAACAGCACAAAAAACAATCGGCTAATCAATGAAGAGTAATGAAACAAAAAATAAATACAGAAGAAATTCGGATCTTCAAAACAGCCAGAGAGCACGATTATATATAAAAGATGATAAAATTTGAGAAACAAAGCAAGGGATAAGATCAAACCTGGCTGAACTTAAGCGCGTGCTGCTCGCCGAGCAGCTGCAGAGAACCGCTAACGAAGACGAGCACGCCACCTGCAGGGCCGGACGGCTGGCAATCGATGGTGGAAATGTTATGCTGGCACTGCTGGAAAGGGAGTCCGGTGAGCTTGGCGGTGATGGCAGCTGCGCCCTGCGTTTTCGCACCCTCAAACGAAAGCATCGAGTTGTCCTGATAAAGACCCGCAAGACCAGCGCGGTTCGTGTCGAAGGTGCGATAGTAGTGCTCCACGAAGGCTCGGGCCACCGCGTCTGCATCCATCGTTGCCGCCGATGTCAAGGAGACAGCCGAAACCCTAGACCTTCCGAGTCGTCGCACCGGCTCCCTAGATCATCCACCCTGGTGCATTAGTAGAAGAAAGAATAAATAGATAAAAAAATTTAAAAAATATGTAGGATCTAAAAAATGGAAAAATATTAAATGACTCTTAAGATGGAGTTACTTTCGGATTAAAATATTATGTTGTGTTATAAGAATATTTTATCTATTTTATTTGTAAAAAATAAAATGTTATTTGAGTATTATATGGTGTTATTCAATTATTTTGCGGTGTTATTGGAATATTCTCCTACATTACTTGATTTTAGTATATGTTGTTATTCGACATATTCCTCGTGTTATTTCAATTTTTACTATATTATTGGAATAACATAGCCCCAAATCAAGTAACGCGGGTAAATATTCCAATAACACCATAAAATAATCGAGTAACACCATAAAATACTCAAATAACACTTCATTTTTACAAATAACGCAGATAAATATTCATGTAACGCAACAGGATATTCCTAACTATTGCAATCCGAACGAAGAGCTATGTTCGGAGTCCCGATGTAATATTTTTCCTTAAAAAATTATCTGATCCAGCCTGAATATGCCCGTTGTAATATGTGTCCTGTTATTGGTTTGTTTTTTACTCAAATAACACTTCATTTTTACAAATAACGCAGATAAATATTCATGTAACGGCAGATGAAATATTCATGTAACACAACAGGATATTCCTAACTATTGCAATCCGAACGAAGAGCAATGTTCGGAGTCCCGATGTAATATTTTTCCCTAAAAAATTATCTAATCCAGCCTGAATATGCCCGTTGTAATATGCGTCCTGTTATTGGTTTGTTTTTTTTTATTATTATAATTTTAGTGTTATTTTACAATATTATTCGAGAGTTTCTGCGGTATTGTTTATTGTGACGTTTCTTCTTCTGTGATGTTATTGCAGCAGTTTTGGCATTAATTCAGTGTTATTGGTGTTGTGAAGTGGTGTTATTCGACAGTAACTGAGGTATTATTGGTGAGGAAACCATTATGTTATCGACATGGTATTTTTTAATGTGACGGTGTTATTTGAAGGAAATAGAGGTATTATTGATAAAAATTTGAAAAACAATTATTTGTATTTTTATTAATTAATTTTCTATTTTCATTTTATTAATAATTCCATATAAAATTCACAGTTAGTATCCTTTATTAATAAATCTATCAAATCAAATATCAAGATAAATATGAGAAAATATTTTAATAGGTTATAAATATAAGAAAATATTTATCTGTAACCTATTAAAACATTTCTTTATATTTATTTCATTATAAGGAAATGAATATTTTAAGGGCCCGTTTGGGGCAGCTTATTAACTGTATGAAAACGCGGCATGGGTGTTTGAAAAAGGTGTTCAGCGCTGCGATTTCATGTCGCTCCGACACACTTCCAAAATTTCGTTAATAGACGGAGAAGCGGGAAAGGGGCTGCGTCCTGCGTCTGCTTAGTATCCTTTATTAATAAATCTATCAAATCAAATATCAAGATAAATATGAGAAAATATTTTAATAGGTTATAAATATAAGAAAATATTTATCTGTAACCTATTAAAACATTTCTTTATATTTATTTCATTATAAGGAAATGAATATTTTAAGGGCCCGTTTGGGGCAGCTTATTAACTGTATGAAAACGCGGCATGGGTGTTTGAAAAAGGTGTTCAGCGCTGCGATTTCATGTCGCTCCGACACACTTCCAAAATTTCGTTAATAGACGGAGAAGCGGGAAAGGGGCTGCGTCCTGCGTCTGCTTAGTATCCTTTATTAATAAATCTATCAAATCAAATATCAAGATAAATATGAGAAAATATTTTAATAGGTTATAAATATAAGAAAATATTTATCTGTAACCTATTAAAACATTTCTTTATATTTATTTCATTATAAGGAAATGAATATTTTAAGGGCCCGTTTGGGGCAGCTTATTAACTGTATGAAAACGCGGCATGGGTGTTTGAAAAAGGTGTTCAGCGCTGCGATTTCATGTCGCTCCGACACACTTCCAAAATTTCGTTAATAGACGGAGAAGCGGGAAAGGGGCTGCGTCCTGCGTCTGCTTGAAATTCACAGTTAGTATCCTTTATTAATAAATCTATCAAATCAAATATCAAGATAAATATGAGAAAATATTTTAATAGGTTATAAATATAAGAAAATATTTATCTGTAACCTATTAAAACATTTCTTTATATTTATTTCATTATAAGGAAATGAATATTTTAAGGGCCCGTTTGGGGCAGCTTATTAACTGTATGAAAACGCCGCATGGGTATTTGAAAAAGGTGTTCGGTGCTGCGATTTCATGTCGCTCCGACACACTTCCAAAATTTCGTTAATAGACGGAGAAGCGGGGAAGGGGCTGCGTTCTGCGTCTGCTTTCCGGGTTAGGTGAAGAGTTCCTCTGTGCCCCTCTTTGCTCTCGTCGCCCTTGCCTCGCCCTCCCAGATCTCGTCCTCGCCTCGCCCTCGCCTCGCCCTCCTCGAGTTAGGGTTTCATTTCGCTATCATTTCAAGGACCGGAGGAAGTTATGATTCCTTCTTTGATTCTCTCGCCTCTTTTCTTCTCGATTTTTCCTCCTCTTTCACTGCGAACCCTATAATCGGGTTGACTTTCGTGTTGCTTGGAGCTCCTTGCTTTGTATCTTGGTTGGATCAAGAAAGATCGATTGCTTTTGAGTTGATGGGCGAAGTTAATGGCGATCCTACCGGGTTTGCGTTGATCTGCCGAGAATAGGTAAAGACTTTAGTACTTTGTGCTCTTCTTCTTTTAGTGTGCTCTTCTGCCTTTAGATTTTTCATTTTTCTTTTTTGTTGGGATCGTTTTGTTGATCTCAGTTTTTCTTGGTGATTCTGAATGTTGTTGTTTTTTTAGCTATGGTATTCATGCATGAAATTATTTAAATCAGTTGTTGAGATGGAGCACAAAACTCAATTGTAAAAATATAAGTGAAATTTGCTTTTAGATTGTTTTTAAGTAGATTGTTTTTATAGATTGTTTTTAAGTTTGAGCCGACTTATAAGATTTGGAACATGCTCGTTCTTCTCTTTAAAATGCTTACAATAATTAGATGGACTTGCTTTTGATCTTAAGTAGTGTTCAAGGTTTTATGTGCTCTTTTAATCGTGTTGTAGAATTGAGATAACGAAGTACTGAGCAGTGTATTTTAATTTATGTAACTGATCTGTAATTGTTTGAGACTTTTGTTCTATCTTTTATTTTCCCTATACAGTTCTGTTGCAAACAATTTAATCAAATAGGGGCAGAATGGTCATTTATCCAACAACAGCTGCTAGTAAGCTGTTCTGAATAAGCTGCCCCAAACAACAAGCCAGTTTATTCTGATAATCTGCATATTATCAAATTATCAGAATAATCAGCTTATCAGTGGATTATAAATAATCAACAGCTGCCTCAAACATGTCCTAAGTTGAATTGAAGTGGGAAAGAGATTTAGGTTTGGTTTGGATTTGATTTGGGCTAATGTCAAGCCAATAACACCACCAATAACACCTAAATAAAACCACTTCAATTCCACGACCACACCCCAATAACACTACCTCCAAACCGTAATACAATCACGGAAACCCCAAATAACATCAGTTTAATGCGCGGCCAAACCCACTAACACCACTTTAATACCACAGAAATCCTCAATAACGCACCACTCCGCAGTTCTGCGAAACTCTGCAATAACACCACAATACAACCATAACAACACTGAAATATTATTGTCGCCAAAATCACAATAACTCACCGCGGTATCACTTCAATAACACTGCAATACAACCAAACTACTACCGCAATAACACCAACCCCGTTGTTTCGTGCAATTCCTCCCAATAACATCACATCGTCATGCAATACCGCCACAATAACACCTGTGTTTCCAGTTTATTGCCAATAACACCGAGGAACCGCGATGATTCCTACACCAATAAACTCACCCTACGGTCCTACGTCAATAATACCAAAATAATACGTCGGATAATACCACCATTAACAATATTGTCGTGGTTCAACTCCAATAATACCCCAATACAACCCAGATAACAACAAAATAACACCACTTGCTTTACATAAAATCTGAATAAGAAAATATTTGTTTGTAACCTATTAACATATTTCCTTATAAGAAAATGAATATTTAAAATATTCATTTTTGTAAAAGGAAATATTTTAATATATTAATTTCATTTTAAATATAGGGAAATATTTAGTATATTCATTTCATTTTAAATATAAGGAAATAAATATAAAGAAATAAATAAGGAAAAATTTTAATATAATATTAAAAATATAAGAAAATATTTTAAAATATTCATTTCTTTACAACGAAATAAATATTGATTTACTTATATTTAAAATATTCATTTCCTTATAAGGAAATAAATATAAGGAAATATTTTAATATATTCATTTTAATATTCAAAATTTAAGAAAGTATTTTAAAATATTCATTTCCTTTTAAGAAAAAAAATATTTAAAATATTCATTTCCTTATAAGGAAATAAATATAAGAAAATATTTTAATAGGTTACAAATAAATGTTTTCTTATATTTATAACCTATTAAAATATTTTTTTATACTTATCTATTTGATTTGATAAATTTATTAATAAAAGATATCATCCGTCAATTTTAGATACAATTATTAATAAAATGAAAATAGCACATGCAATTATGAAAAAAAAAAGAAATCAATTAATAAAAATACAAATTATTGTTTTTTCATTTTTTTTTTATCAATAACACCTCAATAATACCTCTCTTTTCTTCAAATAACACAGTCACATTAAAAAAATACCAAACTGATAACACCACGACTTCCTCACCAATAATACGTAGGTTACTGTCGAATAACGCCGCTTCACAACACCAATAACACGACATTAATGCCTAAACCGCAGCAATAACACCGCCGAAGAAAAAACGTTGCAATAACACATTTGTTCCCCATTAATAACACTGGAATAACACACTAATAACACCTAATAATACCGAAACAACACCGCAAAAAATCTCAAATAAT